AGATTGGATGAAGGTGGCCAACGAGGCTCATGATTCAATTGACCATGACTGTGCTGCCAGAGCATCACAGCGCGATCGAATCCGATCTCGCAATCACCTACGTTCGGTTGACCCTGCTCGGACGGAGCTGCCTCGACGCCGCCCAGCTCTAGAAGCGAGATCAAAATCTAAAGCATTGCCAGGCAGCAGGGCCGCTCTGGTCAACACCGATGTGCGTCGTCAGTTGCTTCAGGAAGGAGCCCTCCTTGACACACATTTGGCAAGTAGTGGTGCAGATATGCTTGTCCAACACGACATTACTCCACGCCGCCTGTTTGAGTCTCCGGGCCATGTCGTGCTCAATGATGAGGTTCCCTTGGCTGCCCCTGCGGACTCCATCGTGCCTTGGAGACCTGTCCCCACAGTTGCCGATCCAATCGTTGCTATGACCCCACCACAGCATGAACCCCCTGCACCGCCAGCTCTACCGTTGAATGGATGCGTCCCACGGTCTTTTGCAAAGTTTCAACGTCAGAAATGGCCACCATTGAGCCCAGCCGATCTTGCACGAGCATCCGCAGAGGAACTTGTTCATGCATCTTCGGTCGAAGATGATGTCGTCGACTTTGTGTTCCAGACCACAGAGACTGACAAGCTCGATAAGTTGTATCTTTTCTACCGAGAGCTCTCAAAGGCTGGCATCTACGTAGATGTCTTATATCGGGGATCAGCTCACCATGGGTTGATCAACGCAACCGGATACAAAGGCTCCGATTCGGTACCTGCTGTGTACACACGGTTGGGGCCCTCGATCAACTGGCATGTGACAACATCCGGCCGAATCAGACTAGACGGCAAGGTTGAGAAAAAAGACGTTCTTGCGGCTATGCTCAAAAAAACTGACCCACCTTATGATTCTCTTCGAGGACAGACGGGGTGTCATATTCCGCGGCAGCCACCGGTAGATTAGCAAAAGATCAGTGATTGGATTGCTGCGCGCCACGGCAAGGTGCTCAAGATCCAACATGCCAGCATCTTTGACGGATTTGGTGAGGCTGGAATATGGGATATTTTTTTTCCAACGCACCTTTTTGCAACCGTCTGCAAACGCGCGGTCCCTGTGCCCACACGGCCTACGGAAGGACTCACGCAGCACGGCTGGGCATGCGACTGCACTCAAGCGATTCGTGCCAGCGCAAGTCAGCGAGCAGCTCGTGCAGAGCGGGTTCGGCCCCTCCACCAGTGCACTCGTTGGCGAGAGGGAGGTGTAGCAAGGAGGCGGCAAGCGCGCGCTGGGCAGCGACAGCAAGGATTCCGCTCCACCTCAGGACCCATGCGGCTTGAGCAGCGGGCCGAAGGATGGCAGGCACACTCGCAGCGCGTGCACGCGCAAGCAAGCGGACGAAAGTGGCGGCCTCAGGTGCCCGCCGGCCCCCAACCTCGATGCCGAAGACGACCAGGCGGCCTCCGGGTAGGTTTGTCGGCGTTTGCGCCTGGCTGCATTCGCAAGGACAACACCAGCTCGGGCATGGGACCGCTCCCGGGGCTCCCCATCACGCCCGACTGGGCTGACGATAGTGGCATCAACTGCGAGCTGGTGTCCATGCCAAAGCGGAAGCCCATTGCAGACAACTTCGATGCGGCGTGCATCGTGCACGGGAACATCAAGGTTCATGTCGGCGAGACGCACATTGATGGCAACCCGTGCTCCCGCTTCGCGGCATACTCTCGCAAGAGCGCGCTCCAAGGGGATGGCGCGCGCAGCGAGGGCCCCGGATGTCGCGCATGCGGCACGGTGGTCTCCCAAGGCATCGAGGTGCCCCCGGCAGCTGCAAGCGCGGGGCGCGAGGGGGAGTGGCAAGCGGAGGCGTCGCAACAGCATCACCCGGAAGAGGTCACTAGGAATGGCGACATCCGCATGCGTTGGCAGGACAGAGATGCTGCGGCTGGCATGTGGGCCTGTCTGCGACAGCAGCAGCGCTTGGGACGCGGGGGAAAGGGTTGCAAAGTGCGTCTCGAGCGCGCGCTCGTCACAGGCGTGGGCGGCGGGGCGTTGCCAGCCTCGCAAGTGGTCACCTGCTTCGTCGCTGCGGGGGGCAGCTGGAGGGGCCGCCGGAACCGCATCCCACTGTGGAGCGGCAAAGCCTTCACCTCGGAGGTAGGTTGCTGATTGCTGCGCAGCGGTGATGGATGGCGTTTGGTGCGCAACCGGGCTCTGCAAGGCCCGCAGTATGCGAGCAGCAGCGGCCGGTGCCGGTGCTTGCAGCACTGGGAGCGTGTCGCACCAGGATGCCCAATGTGCTGCATGCCGGTCAGCTGCAGCTGAACGCAGGCCGAGGCCTCCGAACCTGGTGGGGAGCTGGGCAGCTCTCAGGGGCCCTTCCGGCAGCGGGCGTTCCGCAGAGCCAAGGAGGGTGGCTAGACATGCGGCTACCGCCGCATCGTGCCCAGCTGCATAGTCAGCCGTCAATGCAGGGGGCAAAGCCCGCAGCAAGTAGTTTGCGTGCAGCGCAGCGCAATAGCGCAGAAGCAGCCACGCCGCCTGCAGGTCTTCGACGCCGGGTAGGTCAATGCCCAATTGTCGACATCGAGAAGCGATTGAAGGTTCCCGTGGCAGGTGGTCGACAGCAGCTCGGCAGTTTGGGCAGCTGCCGTGACGGCGTGCGCATTGTACTAGGCAGGATAGGTGCGTGAATGCAGCGCAACATGGGAAGACAGCATCCTCGGCTTGGGGTTGGGAGGAGGGGGCTTGCAGGCAAACCGGGCACGCAGCCAACGGAGGCAAAGCGAACTCCGGCGTGACTTCGCCGCGGCGGGGTGAAGAGGGCGGGGAGGGCAGCGGTGCGGGCGGGCTGTCCAGCGCCGCGGCGGGGCGTGGCGGCAGAGCCTCTGTGTCAGGGGCAGCCAACACAGGCGCCAGCGGCGTGCGGTCACCGGGGCGGGAGCGAGGTGCAGGGCTGTCTGGCACGGTCAAGGGGGAAGCGGTGAGGGGTGGCGGGGAAAGCGCGCGGCGCGACATGACGGTAGCGGGCGGGCAAGAACTTTTTGCTCGTGGCACGGCAGGGCGAAACCGCAGTGCAATAGGATACACTCTAGAATACAATGCGCCGCTTCACTTCAAACGTGAGCGCGTGCAGGCAGCGTGCGGGCAGCAGCCAGCGGGCGCAGCCAAGCCGGTTGGCCTGGCAAAGCGTCCGCAAAGGCAGCCTTAAAAGGGAAAACTGAGGGCTGGACCTGAGGCAAAAGGCAGCTCTAGCCAGGACACCTGGCACAGGAGGAAAAACACAGCAGTAGCAGGCAAGTGTAGCGAAGGCAAGAAGGCCTGTTAACGCCTGCGTTGGCGTTTGGCTTGGCAAAGCTCCGCAGGCTGATTTAGCAGCGGGGTTAAGCTGGTGGAGCTACGCGTGAATACGGATCTTTCAAAGCAGCAGCCGCACCCGGCAGCGCGGCAAGCCTTAGGCGGCCCGTCACGCACGCACGCGTGCACACAGAAAACTGGCGACGAAACAAAGGAGCTGTTGCGCACACAGGCCACCTCCAGCAGGAAGGTCTGCGCAGGAGGGGCAACCTTGGTGGAGAAAAAACCGGATGGGAAGCGGCTACGCGCAGGCCCCGGCAATGGATGCAAGCTGTGCTGGGTGCCTGGCGCGAGCAGCGGCACCTGACGCCGCAAGGCTCGGCTGACGGGCTCAACTCAAGTGCCAGGCAACTCAAACTGAGCCAGCGTCCACTAAGGCCCCGACGCACCGACGGAAGCGAAGTACTAAAAAAATATCGCTGTGGGCATTCGTGGCTTCACACCCAATACGGCCATTCCGTGGATCCTCATCACAAGGTCTAAAGTCGGAGTAGCCGTGTGGCCATCCGGGAAAGTTCAGATCTCCATGAACAATGCCCCCTTCGCCGCGGTTGAAGCTGTGGAATCTACCTTGCGAGCCCACTTCAATGCATCATGGACCTCTCAGAATGAGCTTGCTTCAAACGAGCGTGTGGTCACCTATGGTGTACCAGGAGAAACAGCCCGTCAACAATCCAAAGCAAAAGTTTTTGGCTAGGCGGGGCTCTGGACTGCTTGCACCAGTGCTTCAGAGCTGAGCCGCACTTGTCCTGTCTTCAAAACTCTGGTTGGGTTCAAAAACTTATTGCTGCTGATTATGAAGTGGTTAGGTCGGCACTCACAGCCTTGCAAACAAGCCTGAGGGAGAGTGTAACCATCACTGCGAGTATGGAGCACCGCCTCTGGGACTTGGCCTTCTTGCAGGGCATGTGGCAAGATGCATCCGCTTGTTGTGCATTCCTGAAGCAACAGCATGTATGTGCGCCTGGGTTTCATTTTCCGATAGTTGCTGCAGTCAACTCGGTGGCTACAGAGATCGCAACGGAATGGAGTCAGCAAGTATTGAGGAAGAAGCGAGCTATTATGAAGAATGTCAAGGTGAACAAAGCACAAAAATCGATGTCGCGGCAGCCTGGTCTGGGCCGCTTCCTCCTGAACAAAACCAACCAAGGGATCAGACCAAAAGCAAACAGCTTCTTGGATTCATGATGAACTTTGGGTTGTCAGGTGGCATGAACCCGGCAGGTGATACTCTCGCTGTTCATCGTTGGTGGGATTTCGGCTTGTATGTTCAGTCTCTCAAGGCCGATTGGGGCTTTGCAGTGGGATGTCGTCGGCCTCCCGGTGTTGACATCCAGCAAGCCCTGCCAGGGTTTCCCTATGAAGTCACTGGGCATGCAAGCTTGGCGTATGATGCAGTCTCGATCTTTTGCCGCCCGTCGCTCATGACCTCCGTGCAATGGATGCCTGACAAATCAAAGTCGACTCGATCCTGTTGGGTTAACATCGCTGGAGCTGAGATCCACTCAGCTTTGTATGTTCCACCTTCATCTAGTGTTCCCAGAGAAGAGCGCCACGGCATTGTAGCTACTTTCAGGAATGGGATACAGTAGTGTCAGAGGTGAGCTTGACAGATCGGAGAATGACATCCCGCACATTGATTTCAGGATGTGGTGATCTTAACATGACTCCTGACCTCAAGTTGCTTGTTGAAAGCTGCTTGCAAGAAAGGGGGCTATGGTGGGCAGCACAGCCGACAGCAGCTACGCACGTGAAAGGTGGGATCCTTGACTTCCTTTGGTGTGAGCGAGATAACGCCAAACCGCCACCCATTTTTCATGATGGCCAAGTTTGCCGCTCCAGAGGTTGCCACAATCCCTTGTGTGGCAACATTGCAGATGCTACGGCTTCTAAAGACTTGGATCATTACGCTTGGACCTTTGCTACATGTTTGACAAAGCTTCCAGGCGCAGAGACGGCGTTCAGCCTGTACTTCAGCAAAGATGCTGACATGTGGGAATGTGCAGTGCATGCCATGTGTGAAAAGGTCATGGAGCTTCTCGCACTGGACCAGTCTACTGCGCTGCAATCCTGTCAAGCATGGCCTTGGCTTACGTCGAAACAACGCAAATGTGCACTCAATGCATGTGCTGGCCTCTGGGATGTTCTCATGACGATGGTGGGCTATAGTGCAGGATTGGTTATGCTCAGGCCTTTGACCCGTTCGCCGACAGTTCCGCAAGCGGTGAAGCAAGCTTTCCATGCAATGGTCCGTGCAGCTAAGCTCAAGCCCCATGATGCCACAGTGGCAGAAGTCCTTCACATGAAGCGAGCTGCCCAGAGTGACTACCGGCAGCAGGTGGCCCTGCATCGAGTTAAGGCGATTGAACTCCGATGCAATCGGTATCTGCAGCTTTGCACCTCCAAGGACCCTCAAGCTGATGCCTTCTTGTCCAAATGCCTCAAGAAGAATCCGAGCGGCCTACCAGACAATATGGTCAATGATGAAGGTGAGGTCCTGCATTCTCAGGATGTACTACAAGGTGCAGCAAGTTATCTGATCCAGTTGCAGTGTCCCCCGCCTTTTGCAGACATGGATCACAGGATCAGCAGGATAATGTGCTGATACAAGTCAGGAGTGCCATGCGAACGAAGGTCAACGGCAGCTTGCCTCTTGCATCGCCCGAGATTTCCCCGGAGCTGTTGTCCAGTGCACTCCAAGGCATAGACCCTTCGGCTGAGTGTCGTGGGTTGCCTTATGCAGCCCTGCTGGTGCCGAATCCTGCGCATGTCAGTTGGATTCATAGCCTCCACTCGTTAATGCATGCCTTTGCCGTGAGCCCACTTGCCTGGACAAAACAGAGTCTTTACCATTCTCTTAAACCAGGGCGCCCTCCGAATTCTTTCATGAGCTACCGAGTTCTCGGACTGAACACGGCCCAGGGACGCCTACAGGAAGAGTTGTTCATTCAGCTTGAGCCAGACTTATGGTGCCACACTGGGAAATTCCAAGAAGGAAGACAAGAGTGTCTTATTGTTGTTGCAGCAGATCTGTGCATTGCAAGCATCCGGCTTGAATTGGGCCTTCCATTTGGGTTATGCCTCAATGACCGCAAGGAAGCCTTTGACACTCAGTGGAGATCTTCCATGCTTATCAACTTGGCTTCTGGTGTTTCGAGCCCGCGTTCATGGTGCTTGGCCGATGAACTGCTGCGCACCACTTCTATGAGTGTGGTGAAATCAGGAGCCAGGTCCAGAAGCTTTTCCTCACTTGTGGGTGTAGTCCAAGGTCGCAAACTCTCTCCCCTTGAGTTCTGCATTGGTCAACAGAACCTTGAAGAGCATGCTGCCCGGAATATGGTGGGCATTGGGATTAATCCGCCTGTTTCAGCTGTAGAGGCATATCATCAGCGCAAAGATGGCCACTCAGCTGATGTGCTGTACGACTTGGACGAACCTCGTCGCCTGCATGAGTTGGTTTCGGATGGTATTTTGACTTGGTCGGAAGCCTTCTCTCGGGCTTCCTCTGATACATGTCGCCTCATCTTGTTGGACCTGGCAGCCCCTACCAAGAGATCCATTCGATCCTTCATGGATGACACCAGAATCCCGGTGGCTTCGCATGGACACGCGAGGAGAGCTGTCAATCTTTTGCAGGATGTCGCGGCTTTGGAGCAGTACATGTACAAGCCAAGCAAGTGTTCGATCGTTGCGTCGGGGTTCTCGCAGCGGGCGCCTGTGATGCTCCAAGGGCAGAAGGTCAATTATTGCAATGAGGCAGTTCAACTTGGCATTTCACTTGACACGAGATTCGATGGTGCGGCCCATCTCCAGCTTATCATGTCGCGTGGACCAGGGCGGATGAAATGCCTTCTTGCTGAGCTGATTAATCTTGGTATGCCCATGCAAGCCTTGCTTACGAGCATGCGGACACGGATGACTCCTGCGGCCACCTTCGGCATTGAGCTCGTAGTCCAGGTGCCGTATGCGGACAAGCACCTCAATGCCTTACAAGCTAAATGGTTGCGTACGGCTTTGGGTTGCTATTCAGTGCCTCGCATCGTCATGATGGCCGAACTTGGGATTCAAGACCGCTTGTCGGCGACAGCATGGGCACGAGCCCTGATGTTGCGAAGGCGAGGTCGTTTGGATCCCCGGTATGCCCAGGAGGAAGAAATCTTCAAGTTGGCGGAATCCTGTCCATCGTCATGGGCCTCGGCAGTGAAAACCAAGGAGATTGAACTCAAACTTCCGCTGGTGCCTCAAGGATGTGACGATGTATCCATAAAACAGCTGAAGTCCAAATTGCACAGTCATGCTCGCACAGTGGTCCTTCCGGCCATTCGAGACAACGAACGGCGCATGTGGTTTGACAATCCGAAAAATTTGCAGCATTGGAAATCCTTTTCGCCAGATGCATGGAGGGTGGCATCGCTGTCCTGGTGGGGGATCATGATCAAGGATGCACAAGCATGGGCTCAGTTGAAACTGCAAGGGTACTTCTCCAGACAGGATGGCCATGCTGGCCCCAGTGTACCCTGTAGTTTCTGCAACGAAGATGTCCTTGAAACCACTGATCATTTGTTTCTGTCATGCCCGCGAGTACACGCACTTTTGCATGCTGTACTGCACAGTGCATGTCGTGAGACAAAGCTTTCAGTTGGCAGCAAGCTAGCGCACGCAGAAGATGTGCTCCAGTGGGTTTATGCAGCTGGGAAGCTGTTGCGATCAAAGCATGAGCGCTCGTGCTAAAAAGAAGTTTGCGTCGCAGTGCAAGCGTGGCTTCTTGGCAATTTCAGTGCCTTTGTCTGTGGTGCTCTAACCAAAACCGCCTGACAAGCCATTCTCTGCTCCTTTTTTCTTGTGAATCTGTTTGCTTCTTAGCGGTGCAATATCTGTATTCCGTGGTGCTTCAACCAAAACCGCCTGGCAAACCTTTTGACGCCGCTGTTTGTTCCGAAGCTTTACCCATGCCTGTCATGGGTGCTTCAAGCAAAGCCGCAACTGCTGATCCTTCGCATTAGATTCTTGATTATGCAAATTTCGACATGTGCATGTGGAGACCGGGCGTGTGGGCGACTTTGGCCGTGGCGATGTAAGATTGAAGGCGTCTGCTACATGATGGACTCTCGTCAGTGTATATGTATATCCTTACTTCTCATCATTGTTTTTCGTTTTTTTGTAGTTTTCTGTCTTCGTAAGTAATGTTGTGCCGTTGTCCTCTGATTCAACAAGCGGACCCGTCTCAGTTTCCTTGACTTCCGTGCCCCTACCAATCACAGCTGTGGTTGTGTGGGTTGGCTTTCGGAGTTTTGGGACTGCAGCTGCCGGGGGTCCGTAACAATCAGGAAGGCAGTGAGCAGGCATACTGAGCTTCTTAGTCTTAGTTGCCTCGCTCGATAGCTGTCCTTCCCGTACATTCTTGCCCCTGAATGCCGGTAGATGGGGGCTAGGCCTGAGACCGTGGACTTGGCTGAAAAGCGTGAAGAAAAAAAAACCTCAGGATGGGCTCGACACATGCATTGATTGATTGGGCATCCCGCCGCCGGCAGTCCACTGCAAAATCGACTGGCGAGGCCGAGACGGTCGCCGGTGCAGAATGTTTGCAAAGCTTTCTGCCCATTTTGGATGTGGTAGAAACCGTTGTCGCCCATCGGGCACCCCGGCTTCGTGAGCCAGTGGGCGGCGGAGCGCATGTCGGAAGAACGCCGGCTCCTGCAACAGCTGCCCCTGCTCCCGGACCTGCAGTGGAGTTGGCTCCTGCTCTCCATGTGCGCAGCCCCTCGAGCAAACCACGCGCTTCGTAGGCTGCCCCCGTCTGCATCGCTCGGGTACGCGCAAGCGCACGACGCGGGCATTTGGGAGACGTTGCGGTCCTGCATAGGCGGCTTCAGCGAAACCGACTCGCTTCACGCGTGGTCCATCGCCACCTTGCCGGCCGTGCATGGCGGACTGGGCCTGCAATCCGCAGAGCGCACAGCCCCCGCGGCGTACTGGGCGGCCTGGGCGGATGCGCTGCCCGTGATCAATGCTCGCGCGCCCGACTTCGCACACAGATGCCTCGCTGCACTCGAGAGCCGCGGCGGAGAAGCTGCATGCCTTCGCGAAGCGGCGGCGGCACGGGATTTTTTGCAGCAGGAAGGATGGCGCGACTGCCCTGCCTGGAGCTCTCTCCTACAAGGCACGCGCCCAACCCCGCCAGACGACGCAGGCCCCGGGGACTGGCCACATGGTTGGCAGATGCACGCTTCACGCACTCGCAACACCCACTTTCGCGAATGCGTGCTGCTGCCAGACATGTCGCCCAGTTCTCAGGCGCTTCTGCGGTCCCAGGCTGGGCCACAGGCGGGCGCTTGGCTCGCAGCGATCCCCACTGAGCCGGCCACAACGCTACCGCCTGCCGCGATGCAAATCGCCTTGCGACGGCGGTTGCGGCAGGTGTTGCCTCTGCGCGGGAGACCTTGTGGCCCGAGTCCTGGGTGCGGCGCAGTTGTTGACGCTCTCGGTGACCATGCGCTTGCCTGCCCCCGCGCGGGCCTGCTGGCCAGGCGGGCCAAGGTCGTAGAGCGCGCGTGGGTCCGGGTCGCGAGAGAGGCGCTGGGGGCTGAAGGGCAGGTCGTGCCACAGCAATGGTTGGCCCACACCACGGCGCCAGGTGGTAAGTTGAGCGAAGGTCCTTTCGCATGCCTGGGGTGTGTGTTTGACCAGTTTGACCATGCTTGCGTGTGGATGCAAGCGTGTACGTGGGAAGACAGCCGAAAACGCAACACCCTGAAGCCTCAAGCCTAAAATATGTAGAAGCCGCAACATCCACAGCATTAGCTACGGCATTATAGTTGTGGTTCGTAGAAACTTGGGCTTGGGAGATTCGGAGCAAGCAAGAAGTTGTTGTGACGACAAATCACTCAGGTCCTTTGATTTGGAACGGTGTCTTGCACATTTGAGTTTCAGGGGTGGTGGGAAGCATGTGCCAGTTTTCCGTTTGAACTCTGCTTGACCGCCCGGACCTTTGGGTTGCAAAGTAAGCCTGAGGTAATGCTTTCTTTGACAGGCCACAGATTCGATGCTAGTGATGCTAGTTGCACGGATGGAGATGTGGTTTACAGTCAGTGTCCACGACGAAGCAAGTGTACTCAGGCTTCTTATAGCATATAAAGTAGTCGGCAATCCCGAGCAGCCGAGCTGGCATCCAGTAGCTGACGCAAATCGCACAAGGCTTTGGGACTTCGGAATAGCAAGAACATGTTGCCCCACGGTTGTTTACTATGGTGGTTCTTTGGGTTCTTTCAAGGCAGCACGCCAGGCGATGCGTCAAAACCACCGAAACAATCAAATGCCACCAAACACACACAAAGATACACAAAAAAACCAGCCAGAAACATACAAAACATCAAAAAACTTTCCAAAACAGCCAAAACACACCAAAACACAACCAAACCAACCAGAAACACAAAAAACATAACAAAACCCAACAAAACCACCATAACTCAAACAAAACTCTGTAAAATGTAACAAAGTTAGCCAAATCCCACCAAATCTTCGATTTTCATTCCATTTGCTGGGACACTGCCTGAAATACGCGATTTGCCCGAAGTTGCCCGAACTCCAGAGACTCCAAATCAGGCCTTTTTGCTCTGGTTTTCATTGGATTTTCGATGAAAAAAGGCTTTGCCCGAACTTGCACGAACCTGCACGATCCTGGTTGCCCTCTCAGCTGTGTTTCCTGCATATTCAGTGGTCTGTCTAGCGTTTTGAAATGATTTTCTAATTTTTTGAACATTTTACAGAGTTTTGTTTGAATTATGGTGGTTTTGTTGTGTTTTGTTATGTTTTTTGTGTTTCTGGTTGGTTTTGTTGTGTTTTGGTTGTTTTGGAAGGTTTTTTGATGTTTTGTATGTTTCTGGCTGTTTGTGTGTGTCTTTGTGTGTTTTGGTGGCATTTGACTATTCTGACTTCTGTTTCGCTTGCGATTTGCATTTATTTCTGTTGTTTTGGTGCTTTGTTGCCGTTTTGACTGCATGCGTTGCCATGAAGAGATCTCATGTCAGCAGATGCAGCATGTGTTGAGTGCCGAAACAGCATCTTCCAAACTCCTGAACGCCAGCCAACACAACGAGCAACCACCATCACTTTCCGTCACAAACACCAAAACCACGACACCAGGCAGAGCTGGCGCCACCAGCACCACACCGGCACAGCGCCACACTGGCATAAATTTGAAGCTTTCGCGATAGACTTAAACCTAAACCATTCTTTTTCATACCCTGAACGACTCTCTTTCAAGCTGGCAGCGTATCCGCCTGGACTTGTGCAACCCCAACCCTCAACCCTACGTAAACCCTAAAAATCTCAAACCCTATACCTTAAAACCCTAACCTAAGCCCTAAACGGCTCAAAAAGAGACTTTTGGGACTTGCGGTCATAAAGGAGACTTTGACAAGCTCTGCGGTCATAAAAGACACTCTGGTGAACCCTGCGGTCTCGTTTGCCCCCCAACCTGAACTTGCCCAACTGCGGAACCCAAAAGCGCCAAAGGCTCAACTTACCAGCGCCAGGCGTGGCAGCAGAAGACAGGCGCCGCCTCGACCTCGTCGTGTACGGCGCGACACGCAGTGGCGGAGCCTTGTGTTGCGACGCTACGCTCGTGTCTCCCTTGACGCGAACGGGACACCCACAGCCCTGTGCCGCGGTGGTCGACGGAGCAGCACTCAGGGTAGCCGAGCGCCGGAAGCTCACTACCAACCCGGAGCTTTCCCGCGGCGGGCCACAACAGCTCGTCGTGTTGGGTTCGGAGGTGGGCGGACGCTGGAACGAGCAGGCTCGCACTTTGGTGCGGGACCTCGTCCGGTTGAAAGCTCACCGGGCCCCGCCCACACTCCGCGCAGCGGCGTCAGGTGCTTGGGCGAGGCGCTGGTGGGGCATGTTGTCCGTGGCGGTGCAGCAGGCCGTCGCCAGCACAGCCTTGGGCGGCTGGGTGCACCCCCTGCAGCCCGAAGCCTGCGATGGCCCACCGCTGGACACCCTGCTCCACCATGAGGCCCCCGCCGGCCAGAGCCGCCTGCCGTTGAGGCCCTGAAAAGGGGCGTGGCGTAGTCTGTCCTCTGTCGGGTAGCCAAGTCAGCTGCGACCGCGGCTGCAACCGCTTTCGCTCGGCAGCTCGAAAAGTCCGATGCTAAAAAAAAACAGTTGGGCAGTCCAGTGCCATGTGCGCTCCTCACAGATTCTGATGCTGCACGTGCTGCAATGAAAAACGGCTACAGCCGTAAAATGAGATATCTCAAGAAGACCCAACGCATTGGTCTGGGGTTCATCGGGGATGCCATTCAGGAAGCTTGCACTGTAGAACGTGTAGACACAGATGACAACGATGCTGATTTGCATACAAAGCCGCTGCCACGACAAGCCTTTCACAAGTTCCGTTCGCAAATGGGCGTCTGTGACGTCTCATGAGTCGCTGACCCACGGTCCTGAGGACCTGTACTGTGAACCCTCGTCGAGGGGGCGATGTGTGACAACACGCACTCGTATCTACCACAGCATGATTGTGCATCGACTCGGGTCTTGTGGCCCACATGTGAAGTCAGGCAGTTCTGTATGTATTGCTGAAATTAGAGTGTGATTGCTGTAACTTACTGGCTCAAGACGAGCTAGTCAGAACAAGATTGTCTGCGCCGAATGATGGAAAACATTCCTGCTGAACGAGTGTCCGTGATTTCAGTGACGTGTTTCGCTCGACATCAGTTCCCTGCGCGTAACCCCGAGTCGCTATAGCATCACTGCTGTAGCGCTGTGTTTGGCAGTCTTGACTAGGCTGCAGCCCGGAGGATCTGAAGAGATAACGAGCCTTCAGAAGTTCTTGAGGTACCCCACTATCGCAAACAACTTTCAGGAGATGGCTAAGGTTCTGAGACGGTATCAGTTGGCCCTAGGGCGATCACGACAGTTGAAGCTTCCAGAACTTGCACCACCTGAGGGTCTTCGGGCCGCATTGGCCATTGCCAGGAACATGGAGCGACGAAACCTTGAGGACGTAATGCCCTTCAAAAGTGGCTTCCACTTCCAAAAGCACGTCAAACGTTGACTATCTTGAAATTAAGAGACATTTACTCAAAACCATGGGTCGTTCCCATTCATGGCTTCGATATATGCTTGAAGGAGATGTGTCGTCATGAGCAGACACATCAAGAAAAACAGCACTCCAGCTACCAATGATCATGAAGATATATAACACTGTGCAGGCAAAAGACCTGATCTGATAGCATGTCAAAAGCCATGTGTCACGAGAAGCATTGAAGGTGTGAAGGCGTAACTTCCAGATCCCGTGCTGAAATTTCCAATGATTCTGAGCCAAATATGGTGCCAAAAAACAAAAAACACATATATATATATATATATATATATATATATATATACACATACATATACATACAATATATACAGTGTGTATATATAGCTATGTCATATATCATATATGTATAAATAAATAAATATATATATATATATATACATACATACACACATACATACATACATGATGTGTATATACATATCATATAACATGATGTTACATCAAAATATATAGGCACAGTATATATGAGTATATATATATATGCAGATAGATAGTTATGGTCCATAAACGGGGTTTCGTATTTGGCGTTGCCGGCATTCAGGCGCTTTTGGTACTAGACTTCTACAGACTCGAGGTTTGGGTGTGGGCCTGGGATTTTACAGGATGGATTATGTTGAGTGCAAGCTTGGCTTTCGAATGCGGATGCAGGTATGGTGCTTCGGCCTGGGCTCGAATTGGGTTTTGGGTTTAGGGTGAGTAGTTCAAGATTGAAAGTTGTGGAACAGGGTGCTTTGATTTGTTTGGGCTTCAGAAGCCTGGGCCGGACATCCAGTCGTAAGGTTTTGGAACAGGGGTTAACATATTGTTATCTCCTATAGTACCTAAATTTTAATAAATAATCTCGGCTAGATACCATCTCCGAGGGCAGAATCACCGGCATGGGTTCAAAGGCCATTTCATCATCTGCATTGCATATAGGCACCGTTGCCCAGGAAAGGTTTGCTTTCAATGCATGACCAGTTTTTGCAAGTCGTTGATGAAGTTCGTCTTCTCGCAACGGTCGTGAATCATAGCCACTCATGAGACTAGATCCATAAATGTCTCCTGCATCAGAAATTTCTAAAGCATAACTTAGAAGCTGCCCCCACCCTGTAATAGTGACCATCAGGATTATATAGGATTATATTAGGGCCCTATTCTATTCCTATGATACCACTATTACAGGGTGGGGGCAGCTTCTAAAGCATAACACACAAAGTTGACCCTATCCGGCGGACACATAATGGCCTAAAGCATTTGCAACCATAGCTTCTAGCACATATCCTAACCTTCGGCTGTACTTTGCTATGCCATCGGCCATAGGAATATACGAAAACTTAGATAGCACTTTCGCTTTGCGAAGCTCAAGCGTGCTTGCGTAGCTCAGTCACCAACGCCCGTGCTTGGGCCTTCTCCATCCTCAGCTCCATGACCTTGAGATTGGCTTATCGAATCACCCCAAGCAAAGCAACCCCCCCTAGGCCTAAATCCTTAAACCCTGAAGCCCTTAATCCCTTAAACCCTTAAGCCCGAGTCCTCAACCTTACCCAGGTAGCCTGGTCGTGGATCTGCTGGCAGATGGGGTCCATTTCCTCGGCGGTCTTCAGCTCCTTGAACCTTATGTATGGAGTTAAGCCCCCGAACCAGACGTTACGCCGCACTCCGACCCCATCCGGGTGCCGAGCATCCCATGATAACGTCCAGATCCGACCATATCCATTGCCAACCATGATAACGTCCAGATCAGACCATATCCATTGCCGCAGAGCATCCATGGGCCAACAAAGATCACATCCAGATCAGACCATATCCATTGCCGCAGAGCATCCATGGGCCAACCATGTCAACGTCCAGATCAGACCATGTCCATTGCCACAGAGCATCCATGGGCCAACCATGACCACGTCCAGATCAGACCATATCCATTGCCGCAGAGCATCCATGTGAAACCAAGACCATAAGCATCCATGTGCCAACCATGATAACGTCCAGATCAGACCATATCCATTGCCGCAGAGCATCCATGTGCCAACCATGATAACGTCCAGATCAGACCATATCCATTGCCGCAGAGCATCCATGTGCCAACCATGATAACGTCCAGATCAGACCATATCCATTGCCGCAGAGCATCCATGTGCCAACCATGATAACGTCCAGATCAGACCATATCCAGTGCCGCAGAGCATCCATGTGCCAACCATGACAACGTCCAGATCAGACCATATCCATTGCCGCAGAGCATCCATGTGCCAACCATGATAACGTCCAGATCAGACCATATCCATTGCCGCAGAGCATCCATGTGCCCTCCACCCGTTCCCGCAGAGCACCCATGCCGGCAACGATGTCTGCACGGGGGTCCGTTGTTTTATCGGTAGATAGGAGCGGAGCTACAGAATGTCAGGGATTGGTTTCACCTTTGGATAGCTTGGATTGCGATTTTGTCCAACTGGGCTGCAGTCACGATACAAATGATTTTTGAAGCTAGGGTCCAAGATGGTCGAAGCATAAGCACATCTAAAACTCCACCCCGACCTCTTCTTGAAGCCTCCCTCTTGTCCTAAACCCAGAAGCCCCAAGCCGTTAGGTCTTGCGAACGCCGTCCACTCCTTTCGGCAATCTTTTTGGCTCCCCCTAGTTCTGGGGTCATGGAGGCATCAGCCTCGCAGGTGCAGGCATGGCTCGACCTCGGCTTGCCTCAGAGTCCGGAAGAGCCCAGTGACTCGCCGCAGGCTGCAAGGTGCAAACGCTGGTGGGCTCGACAGCTGCAGAGTTTCAACGCGTGGCAGCAGTCGACAGACGTGGATGCGACGACACTCATCCACATCAGCGACGACGAGACGGAGCCTGCCTCTTCGCCTCCACCTACGGCAACCTCTGCAGCTTCAGGTTCAGCTTCAGCGCACTCCCCTTTCCCTTCCAGCAGTCCGACTCCGTCTGGTGCGTCCTGGTCTCCACACTGTCTTCGCACTGCGGCTGAGCGGTGTGCTGCGGCTGAGGCCGTGTCCGTGGAGGAGCCCTTAGAGGATGTCCTCCCTGCCGACCCAGTCCGTGAGCGGACTCCACCTCCACCTCGCCGGTTCAAGTGGGGGAGCTGCCCGAAGTGCGGTTCTGCCACTTCTCCCTACATTTTCCAGTCGGGAAAGAGACTCTGCTGCACGGTTGTCCCTGTTCGCCTAAACCCTAAGCCCTAAACCCCGGCTAAACCCTAAACCCTGCAAGCCCTCCACTTGTCAAGCTCGAATCCCCTGCTGTTCTTGCTCTCAGGCGTGCTGGGAGGGCAGTTCTGCAGTGCAACGCTTGGTGGCGCTACGACGAGGCTGGACGGAGACGTTGCTGGGGGTCGCTTGAGTTCCCGTGGCAGCGTTACGGTGAAGCACCGGACTTTTAAGACTGTGTACTCTGACGTACGCACGGGCCTGCAGAGGAATAGTCTCTAGGTTTGGTCCCCTTCTAGTTTCACTTGGGGTACTCTTGGCCTAGGCTTTCGGTTTAAGGGCTTCTACTTCAGATGCCGGCAGAGTCACGTCACACGTCTCTGCTTGCCTTGCTGAAGACAGTTTCTCTTGGATGTCGGGGTGCAAGGACAGCCCAGCATCCACGTGTCAACACAGGATGCTCTAGACGCATGCTTGTGCTTTCCTGGAAGTTTGCTTCCTTTCGTGCAGAAAGCTCCGAGCTCGAACCCAGACTTGTCTTTGGCAAATTCGGCTGTCCTTGAGGAGCGTTCGGTCCTGAAGCCTTGCAGTTTGAACAGCTTCTTGTCAACCGTTGTTTGGCTCCACCATGCGCAGTTTTTCCCCAGTTTCAGACCCTAAGAAAGACCACAGACCCCTCAAGTCCCGCCAGTCCCGCAGAACGCACTCCCTGAACACCTGAACACTGTAGCAGTTTCGTGGCTGTGAAGATATGGCCCGCCTTCGTTCCTCGCACTTTCAGAGACCTCGTACTTTCAACACGCAGAAGAAGCCGGCTGCACGGAAGCGGCCTGCGGCTGCTCAACACTCAAGGGAGCATGCCAGAGAAGTCAATCGCACGCATATCCGGCGGGGCGTGAAGATACGGCAGCAGCCCGTGGGGAAAGCTCTGGAAGCTCCTCGCATGGAGCGTCTGCGTGATGGCAACTTGAGCTTTGCTGAAATCAGTCGCTTTTCAGAAACCAAAGCTCTCAGGTACCTCAAGGATGCCGACTTCTTTCCGGCATTGACTGGTCGCTGCTGCTGGTCCTGCGGCTCTCCCTACAAGAACCCGCGCAAAACCGTGAAGTTCGCTTGGGATGGGACGCTGCGCTGCTCGAAAAGGTCTTGCGACCGGCGACTGGCTAATGCTCGCTACACGTTGACGCCTTTCTTGAAGAAGTTGCGGCGCAACAGCGAGCGCTTGCCTGCTCGGCTTCTGCTCCAGTTGTTCACGCTGTACTCCACGAAGACACCTTTGGACACGGCCAGCAATTTGGCGGACTGCTCTGGCGCCAACCGCCGCAATGTCTACGAACAGGCTCTGCAACAAGTCAAAACATAGGGGCTTAGCTGTTTTGCCTTCCTGGACCCCAAAATTATGTAGAATATTAGCCTTATATAGGTGTTGGGCCATTCTTTTTACGTACTTTTGGGAGTCTAGGTTAAGCCGATTTAAGATTTAGGGCAGTCTGGATCTGTTGCCAGGCACGCCATGTCTACGACTGCTGCGACACAGTGGCCAGTTTCTCTGTCATGGAGTCACAGATCCTGCAGCCGAAGTTTGAGCATGACCTTGTGGATGTAGACGGTCTTGGCTTGGCGACATACAAGGGAGGACGTACGAGAGGCCCGAAGCGGAAGGCCGCCTTTGCAACTCTCTGCAAACCTTTGAAAGTTAAACCCTTCACAACCCTAAGCCTCGCAAGCTCTACTGTAGTAGCACTGAAACCATTCCCTCTAGGTGCCAGAGCCAAGCTCCGGGTCGAAAGACCCTCCTGTTGCCAAGCCCGCCCGACGTGTGAAGAAGAAAGGCAAGGCCTTCCGAGAGCATGCTGGACGATTCTTTCTCATGCGTTCCAGGAGAAGCTCTGCAGTTCAAACTACTGTACTTGTACTCCGAGCCCAAATCTCGCTAAGCGTAGACCAGCTTTAACCTTGACCCTTAAGACACCCCCCTAAGCCCCTGAAACCTGCGCTCCCTGTTCAGCCTCCCGAGGAGCACAGGCCGCTGCGTCTGGAGTCCTTTGAAGAATCGGAAAGCCGCCAAGGGCTCCGCTTGTGCTCCCGAACAAAGTGCAGAAGTTGTGCCCCAGATGCTGGCGCACGTGGACACTAGCTGCTTCGTCGGTGCTGACTCTGGTCCGGCTCTGCAGGCAGGGGCCAAAGCTGCTGGTGCTGTGGCCAGTGCTGCGAAGCATGGGCAGGAGATTTTTACCCCTCTCATGTCCTTGCGGAAGACAAACCCGACCAAGGAGCAGATCAAGACCATGAGAAAGTTTGCTGGCAAGACTTGGAAGCATTCTGTTGTCAAAGACAACAAGAAGACATTCCAGATCTTGGGTGGCGATAATGCGGCAGAGGGAGTTTTTAGCCAGGGCAAAGCCCAGCTCAGGAGAACAAACCGGCTCGGAAGAACTTCCGCTGCCTCAGCCTCGAGAGCTTTTTTGGCAGCTCAGTTTGCAATTGTGCTCCACAAGCCCGGACTCAATAGTCTTTTGCAAGCTTTTCGCACCTTTAAAGCTTATCATTTGGATAGGCTTGGTGCTGATCCTTATGAGCAGCTGCACGACAAGGAGCCTTGGTCGATTCTCTGAACTTGACAAAAACGTAGACCAATTTATAGAGCCGAAATTTGGCCAAAATCACCCTACGAAGAACACATCAGAGAAATGCTCCGACATGCACGACGTCCCACGCCTGCCAGGCAAATCGACTTCAAGGCTGTGCAGGGCTCTAAGAAGGGCTTAAACCCGAGGTGGCTCTTTTTGAAAAAGTACAGTAGCCACCTCGACTTTAGGACGTTTCTGCTCCTGGGAAGCTCGGAAAGTGCTGCGCCTGCCAGTAAAAATGAGCTTCTGCCGAAGCACTTCGAACACTGGGCGCGGCACAACGCGCGGTTCGAACGTTTAGGGATATCGGGCCAGAGGTTATCACCGGGATCTCGTTCATGGCTGGAAGCTTTTTGGCAAAATTCTTGAGTTTCTTCTCGTAACGAACCAGAGTTGATTTCATATCGGTCTCCTTGGTCGACTCGCCCAAATCGAGCATCAGGTTGGAGAGGCCATTGATCTCCTTTTTGAGCTCTTGGCCTGGGTATGCAAAACAATACAGAATTCAACTGCAGGGTCTCAGGAATTATAGGCACTGTAGCTTCAACCTTGGGGTCTCGGGTTTAGGTTTCCGGGCTTCGCATTTGTGATTGGATTGAGCCTAGAAACTCCATCGCTGATGCTTATCCTCATCCGTCCTGAAGACTTCGTTGAGCAAGCTTGCCCTGGTTTTTGTCGTCGTAGCAGAAGCCACAGATTTCGCACCAGCACGTTTCTTCGGTGCTTTCCCACGACCGGCACCACTAGCATTGCCTTTGGGTGGCACGTAGCAGCGTAGCACGAACTTAATCAAACCGCAGTTGCATTCACACAGCTCAGACAAGCCACAGGCCGCAGCAGCAGCTTCCTGAAGCCCGGTGTTGTACTTGTCAAAGGCCTTGAGCACATCCCCATTTAAGGGGCGCGCAGCAGTCGCAGGGGCACTTCGGTGCAAAACCGACGGCAAGCCGTTCGACCCCAAGCCAGCCATGAAAGCTTCATCGGCTACCGCATTGACTTTGATCTGAGCACTGATCCTGAGTATTGACTGCAGATCGCAATAGGATTGCACAAACACACATATCCTATCCTTTATGGCATCAACTAAGTAGGTTTGATTGCTCCATCTCGGTCTTCTCGCGGTCCACCACGACCCAAAAGCGCGTCAGGGAAAGGTTGTCAGGGCTGTGTTCATCTTTTTCGCCTCCTCCTTGAGCAATGATCCCCTCAATTTTGTCCCTTGGTGCCGACAGCTTCCAGGATTGTTCAGGGATTTTTGGTTTGATCTATATATATATATATGTGTGTGTATGCATACTTATGTCGTATACAACCAAGGCACGGAGGAAAGAAGTAGGGTGCTTTCGGCATGTCGCACACACGCAGCTGCTTCCACACACGCTTGCCTGTGAGGCTTTGCTCCTTTAACACCAGCAGCTCTGCCTCACAAGCTTTGCAATTCTGGCCGTGAGAGATGAACTTTCTGAGCAGCTTGTTCTTCTCCTGAGCACAGAGGATTACTATGCAGGGGCCATCACACACAAGCCAAGCAGTCCTGGAGGTTGCTTTCCCAGAGATTCGACATCTCCGGGAAAGCCGCCAGCTTGCCCGCATCGTACAGCCGGTTCTTAGCACAAACAACCACACACACACACACACACACACACTCACCCACATATACAGTCCTGAAACCACAAGACCACAACTCACAATTGAGCCCAGAAACAAGTTTGGCATACTCCTTTGGATGGGTAGAACTGTTCACCTTCACCTCAGGCTCCTGGGGATCAGAACACTGTGGCACCTCGGCGGGAGCAGCTGGTAGAGCGGCTGGAGCAGGCGCTCGAACAGGCGTGGCAATAGGTCTCGTCATTGCAGGGGTGGCATCCTTAGGATCCTCCTGAATAGTCTTGGCTGACAGCGGCTCCACACCTTTTGTTGGGCTAGCAGAACCGAAGGATCTAGCATTCTGTCGTCGCAGCATATCCTGCAAATGCTTGTTGTGAATTTCAAGCTGTTGCATCCTCTCAACCAACGAGTTCAGGGTAGATGCATCCGACCCAAGAGCACTTGCTGAAGGCCCAATCCTCAATGCAGCAATACTGGAATAGAACAAGACAAGGCCAACGCACAATAGTTCAGGCAAAGTAGCGTCGAAGTGGAAGTCGTACGGTGAACGGGGCTGAGGCGTGTGGACTTGCCAGCGATGCTCTGCTGGCCCATGACAAGGGTGGTCGAGGACCTGAAAGCGCCGTCTAAACCCGATAAATCCTAAGCCGCTAATTCAACCACTAGAAACATAAAACCCCCAATGTATACCCAATACTAAAATTTAAGTTCTCTGCATCTGCATCTATATCTATGTATTCATACATCTATACTTATATCTATATCTATGTCTGTATCTAAACTCAAGCATAATAGCTAGTATAGGCCCCACCACAAAGCACCATTCTGAACCCCACCACAAATTTTGTTATACTTTGCCACTACAATAAGTTAATTCCCTACAATAAATTGCAAAACAAAGCCTTCATATTCCATGTGCTGATTTACAGATAGGTGACAAGAGAGACTCCGTGTCCAGGGGTTGGGTGTCCGCTTGGCTAGGATCATGGGGCATG